TTTATTCATTCTAATTAACATTTTATTTTCAAACTTTTCATTAATGCGCATTACATACCACTTATATTTCATCATATGTATATCTTATTATTAGTAAATTTTGAGTTTTATTTGTTCAATACATTCATTGATAATGTACAGAATATCTATGAAAGTTTTACACAAAAATTATGTGTTTCAATGCCTGTATCTGTCATTTTTGTTGATTTTTTCCTGAAACCTAAAACGATAACGATATATCCCCCGAAATATTTGTAAATTGGAGGCCCGATATTATCTGCATGGCCGATATTTTAATCCTTGCACACACACTTGGTGTGAGAATATAACCGTTAGGCACAATACCAGCTGGATGCATTACATCACAATGCAATCTCAGCCATCCACAAACTAACCAATGAAACTATGACACTTGGATTACCAATAAAACAAACTATAAGAAAAACTAAACGTATCTAATTTATGAAATCAGCTTGAGCACTTATAATTCAACAGACTCATCAGGCAACAGCAGCAACAAAACCATATTATAATTCAACAGACTCATCAGGCAACAGCAGCAACTAAACCCTTCCCTCCAACTTCTCCAGGCCTGCAATGATTTGTGAATTTGCAGAAATGATCAGAGATAAGTTTCCTTTCTTTAATTCGTTGCACTAAATTGTATTGAGATACCAAAACTATATTATATTTTCACTTACGAAGCTTAGAAGATTCTCCATATTTTCTCCATGCCAGATGCCACTATTTTTTTGTCCACTGACTATCTCTAGAACTAACACACCAAAACTGAAGACATCGGACTTAACAGAAAAGTACCCATGCATTGCATACTTTGGAGCCATATACCCACTACATATCAACCAAAAGAATGTCATCGCTCACCAACACATATGGAAAGGAAATTGTTGACATAACAAACATAAGCCCACAGGCAGTTAAGTGCACATTCTTACTAGGTCCCAACAATCCGACTAGTATTGCCTTGTGTTTGATCAGACATGAACAACCTTGTCATGCCAGAATCTGAAATTTTAGGGTTCATTTCTGCATCTATCAAGATGTTACTAGCTTTGAGATCACGATGAATAATTTTAAGGCGAGAGTCTTCGTGGAGGTCAAGGAGGCCTCGAGCAGTGTCGACTATGATTTTATAGCGCCTCACCCAATCTAGTTGTGCACGCTTTGTTGGGTCTGCAAATATATTAATGCAAAATCAAGACTTCAATTACAGCGTTTGCTTGCATACATGTCACACAATTGGAATTTTATAATGAACATTCGAAGTTAAACGAAAACAATGCATAATTCCAGACATACCAAATATGATGTAATCGAGACTTGCATTAGGGACAAATTCATAGACAAGAAGCCTTTCACTCCCTTCTAAGCAGAAACCTAAGAGTCTAACTAAATTCCGGTGTTGAAGTTTAGCCACTAATAAGATCTCGTTTTTGAATTCTAAATCTCCTTGCCCCGAATTTGTAGAGAGCCTTTTTACAGCTATATCTTTTCCATTGAGAAGCCTACCCTGAAAAAATATATAGGTACGGAATGAGAAAACAGAAATGAGATAAGTGGTATTCAAGAAATATCAAAGTTATAAGTTCTTGTTATTAACTTGTCATTACCCTGTAAACAGATCCAAATCCGCCCTGTCCAAGTTTATTTGCTTCAGAAAAGTCATCTGTGGAAACTCTAATGGTGGCCAAGTCAAATTGCAAAGATTCTGCAGATCCAATTTCATCTGTATCGTCGCTGCCTGAGGAACAATTGAAATTCTAAAAATGCCTATAAAAGTGGTAGTACTTGGCTTCCTCCCTATCAAATGGAATAATATGATTAATTAATGTTCACTAGAGTTGCGTCCTTACCTGGAATTAACTTCCTAGTTTCAAGTTTTTTCTTTGTCCTCCTTACTCTTAAACAAATGCAGAAGAATATAACTATTATTACCACAGAAACAACAATTGGCACAACAATAATGATGACAGTCTGAGATCTGTTACTCATCGATCCTGCAAAAATCAGAATTCTCATTTGCATTAATTTGAATACGTGCATACATCTGTATATGAACCTAACAAAATATGCATTAGAAATCTATTTGACCCAAAATTGTTGTAGTGTCAATGGTAGCAATGGTCCTTGAACTTGTACACGAGACAACTACATCAACTAAAAATTGAATTGAGTGACTAAAATGTAACTCGTCTACAAATTCCCGGACAATTGCTCTAGTTAAGCCAACTTTATTTCTTCAAAGCATAATATATTGGGACATAAATATATATACATATATATTTATGTCCCTCCTGTACTGGTTGACGGAGGAGGAGGACTAGACAGTGGCGGCGGAGAAGACGGCAATGGTCGGACAGTTGCAGGGTCATAGAAGCCATAGATCTCATACCTAACCAATGTTTTCAAAGGCGAGGCGTATAGGCGAGACGTTTTTAGTAGCGCTATGCGAGGCGTAAGCCTTGAAGCGTTGAGGCGTAAGTCTTTTAAACATTAATTTATTTTAATAAGAATTTTTTTTGAATAATACAATACAATTAAATTGCACAAGTAATTTTTATTGAACCATAACAATCTTTTAAATATAATTAAATATTTGGTAAGGATAGAAATTAGGGTTGTACTATACAATATACACACATATTGTTGTAAACGCATGAGTTGGTGGATGACCACCATACCTCTTAGTATTCCACCGTTGGATTTTATGTAACCTATGCACTAAGTATTTGTAATTAGTGCTTGTAACCTATAAGTATATTGTAAATGATGGTATTCAATCTCCTATCTTGTAAGCCTATAAATAGATGGTTCTACCAAGATTAAGAGAAGAATAAATATGGTGAAACTTTATCTTTAGCATATCACTTCTCTCTACATTTTCTCCCTCTAGTTTTATAACACGTTATCAGCACGACATTGCTCTTGGTATGTTTTCTTTCTCTGAATATAGAGTTTCTTTGTACTCGCCATCAGATTTCATCATGCTTGTTTAAGAAAAAAAAAATTCTTATTCTTATTACACATGAATATAATGTCATGTTTTTGTTTTTGTTTGTCTATTTATTTAATTTTAAGTATGATCTTAATTATTATGATGAGTTTGTATTATACAAAATAGCTTACCGCCTCGGGCGTTTTCCGGCCGCCTCGCTCCGAAGCGCGCTCCGACTCGCGCGAAAGCATGCCTTTGAAAACACTGTACCTAACATCACAGCTTGGTTTCATAATTCTAGCACCTTGCTTCCCCTGACAACAGTTTGGGACATCTCCCAAAGAACTACCCAAGCAATCACTGCAGACCTGCTCGGGCAAAGCCGGCGTACACTGCGCAAGTCCATAAATCCTGCCAATTCCAATTCATCAAAATACTTCTTTTGAGGACTGGACTGGTACTGATTTTGAATTTTGAAGATTGATTGAATATTAAACCATTTTTAATGACGGCGTTTAGGAGCAACTTCAAGTTATTTAGTCCTTGTGTTATTAAAAAGACTGTGGACCAACTTTCTTTTCTCTCTATTGCTTTTTCTTTCCGCAACCAAATTAAACATTGGGAAAGGAAAATTCCACAAAAGAAACAGTACATACTTTTGGTAAAATTTTCCATGACAAGTGCTTTATGCATAGAAGGTTGATGAGATTGGGAAAAGATAAATTTTGGAAAACGAAATAGATTAACTACACGTATCCAAATTAGTCTTCTCTCCACTTCCAATTTCAAGGATATAATTAATGAAGCCTCATTTCTGGTGCATTGTTAGAGTTGTTCTTGTATTGATCCAACCCTGTTGCCCTGGAATTACCCTCCGTTCCCAAAGACATGTCGAATGGCTGTGGAGGCACAGGGAGACTGAGGGAGTAGCTATTCAGCATCACAATAACAAAAGCCATGGTTGGTTGGCTTATCAGCCACATTTTCTTGCACACATAATAATCCAACGTGGATGCATCTCATTATTTCACTACTTGAACCAGTCCTCAAGGTCGGATCTATTAGATTTGAAGCTGTCCTTTCCCTCCAATTTTTCCATGCCTAAATAATTTATGAATTAGAATAAATTAATTTGAGATTAAAATTTGTTTCTTTCATTGCATTCAATTTCACTAATATATAAATACTCACATAGCTTAAAAGATCCTCCACATTCTCTCCACAACGAAAACAACTATTTTTTGTGCCCACTTACAATCTCTAAAATCAACACGCCAAAACCATAGACATTGTGTTGTTCACAATTTTCTCTAACAGTCTTAAAACTGACACATTGGACTTAACAGAAAACTGCCCACGCATTACATACTCTAGAGCCGTATATCCGATGTATATACCAATAAGAAGGTCAACATTGACTAACATGGACGGGACTAATTCTTCTTGTGATTTTTTATGAGGACTAATTGGAGATTCAAATAAATAAAACAATTGAATATTGGAAGGGGGAGTGCATGGTTGACATTAAGGCAAGGAGATATTGCACCGAATTTTCTGCTGTGGACGGACTGTTTTTTTCTTTACCAACCTTAATTAAGTGGGTATCCCGGTCAAAGGAATGGAAACTTTTAAAAATGGAAAAAAGATAAAAATGTTCCATAAAGCATATGTAATTCATGAAATTGGAAACATCTAAGCTGAAACTCAACGTCCATTTAGGGATAAGAGGTCAAGTCAAGCCTCCAGCTTTTTCTTGTTTTTTGTTTTTGCGAATTATGATTCTGGTCTCTGTAATTTGGCAAAATCTGACGTTGGTGTTAGTACATTAAATTTCAATTTTGGTGGAAAATTAAAAATCATTTAGTGCCACATCAAATATTTGACTAGAATTTGAGAGTTTGCGGACTCAAATAAGTACTTTTAAAAAGTTCAGGGCACTAGTGATAAAAACCTTAAGGGTTGTTTGGTATGGCGGACTGTTATGGACCGGACTAAATCCAGGACTGTCTTGGATTAAGCTGGATTAAGTACTAACCTACGTTTGGTGTTACGTCGGACTAAGAAACTGGATTGTGAAAATAGTGAAGACTTATGTTTGGTGTTGTGTCGGACTAAAAATAATAATTTTTTAAAATATTTAATTTTAATTAAGGATTTTAGCCTAAAAATAAATAAAATTCTAATATTTTTGAAAGACTAAAACTGTCTCATTTCTTTTTATTTTTCTTCTTCCTTGCTCTTCTCCCCTTTGTCTTTTCTTCTTGGGAAATGACCTCCAATGCCACCCATTTGCTAATTTTAACTAAAAATACCATCCCTTCCTAATTTTTGTACAACTACAACCCATAAATATAAAATTATTGTCCACTTATTGTACCCATATCGTTTTTCAGAAATTGCTCTCTCTCTCTAACTCGCTCTATCTCTTCGACCGTCTCTCTCCCTCGTGTACCTCTCTCTCTTCGACGACAATCATCTTTCTCCCTCAACAGTGGCTGTCTGCGTTCTCTCTTCCTCTCTCAGCGTTTTATCTCTCCACCGTCGCTCCATGACCACCACCACTCTGTTTCTCCCACTCTCGCGAAATCCATCCCTGTGTCAATTTCTCAACAAAAAAACTCAATCTTTATCCCCTATCTAGGGTTATCTGGTCTTACAAGTCCAACCCAGAAAAATAAAAGCTTAGCCACTCCCTAAGCCATCCAAGCTTAACTCCATAGTTCACATCCACGAGATACTGTTCACATTCCTTTTCTTAGAAATTTGGGGTTTTTGTGAATTTAGTTTATAGTGTATAGATTTGTATGAAATTGGTTTAGGGGTTTCTTCCAAATTGGTTTAGGGTTTTAGGGTTTAGAGGTTGCTTTGAAATTGGTTAGGATTTGTTTTGTGCCCAGAAGATTGTGACTTTGTTGAAAGTT